GTTCCTGTAGGGATGCGAAAAGATCCAAGCGGCGCGACAGCGCTCCTTTTATTCTGTGTCGAAAAATGCTAAGCAGCGCGATAGCGCTTCTTTTATAATAGGTAACAACGAAATACAAAATGTATTACTTGGATTACTTATGTACAAAAAAAGTAGCAAAGCGACGTACATGCGTCTGAAAAGTTGAGCGCGTTTCGTCAGATTGTGAGTGCGCCGTCAGTTGTCCGTATCGTTCAAATGCGCTGGGTTTTTTCGACATGAAATCTGAAGAGCGCGAAAGCGGCGCGTGGGACTCAAACGGTTAAACATTCCAAATAATATTCCACTGTCCAGCAATTTTTTTTTAGTCGAGAAAACTGACATTCGTTACTGATTAGTTTCCTAGAAGTCAATACCTTTGCCACCTAGCTAGGACAAATTATATCAGGCTTACGAAGTGTAGTATAAAATTTATTCCCGCAATTAGACGTACACTTTTCATCCAATGACTCAGCTTTCAAGAATAATCGATAAAAAAGGGCGAGAAAAAAAAAAAGAAAGAGTAGAAAATGAAAGGAAAATTTATGGACACGCGTGACACGAAATTTTTCGGCAGGAACACATTTTACGCGAGCATCGTTGGAATTTTCGGAAGTGACCCGACAAAAGGCCGCTGTTAAACATCGATTAACGCCGCCTTCGTTGATAAGGTTGCCAGCCCGTAGAGATCCTCCTGTCGTGTACCTTTTATCGGGGTCACGAATACACGGGGAGGGAATGAAAAATGCCCGTCGATGAGGAGAAACTCTCCCGTTGGTCAGTGTCGTTAGGCGGCACGATCTACCTTTTGTTAATCGCGACAGGTGCGATCCACACTCGCGTTGTATCCCTGCTTTGCCGTCCACCTCGTGACAATGTAAAGCTTCTAATACCGAAATTACCTTAAACCGGTGTTCAAAGCGGTCGACACTTTTAGACTGCTAATCTTGACGTTGTTTTCACGGAACCAAGACTTTATAAGCTTCTTTTTCTTTGTTTCTTTTTTCTTTATAGCCGACGGTCTGATTTAAAAAAAAGAAAAGGCGAACGAAGTTTAACGTAGCCGGTAGAAATAATTAGCCGTGTCGCGTGTCGTAATGTACAAATAACTTTTTATAGACTTTTATCTCATTTTCTCAGATCGATTGATTCGAACGATAAAAAATTCTCAAAGTCGTTGATTTTTTTCTGTAAATTGCAATGCTCGGTGATTCCAAACTTTTGGCCGGTAGTGTACATGTAGGACGGTCTAGCGCAGCGGTAGCTAGACAAAAGTTGCCGAAAGATGACGGCCGTGCGTGTGTGAGCGGTGTGTTGGTCGAGGCGCGAGACGAGCGAAAGAGACAGTCGTAAGTGGCCACCGAGTCGTTTGTATCTTTTATTTTGTTTTTCTATTTTCTTTATTAACCCTTCGACTGCTATGGGCGCATATATGCGTCCAGCAAAGGCTATCAGTGTGGCCTATGGACGCATATTTGCGCCTGGCGAAGGCTATCAGTGTGGCCTATGGACGCATATTCGCGCCCGGCGAAGGCTTTGGATGTTTATTATCGTCTCGTATGTATGTTCGGTAATTGTTTCTGTCGCATATGTGCAACACTCGCAGAAACCACATACCTCGTTGCTTAACAACGAGAAAAAAACAAAATCTTGTTTATTTCGCCAGTCATTCTCTGTATCTTAAACTCGTTTCATCTGTAGCCATACAGTTGTGATTGTTGCATTAGCATATTGGTGAATAAACAGTATATATTGAAAATAAAAAATGTTCGGATTCGTTTTGGAGTAGACAAAGTAATAGTAATTGGATTGTGTACTATATTATAATGTGTTAGTACGCCACCGACGTGATCCATACTGCGCGAAAAAGTTTTCAGTCCCCAGCGATCGCATCCGAGGGCCGTATGCCGCTCACGCGAAGCGCTTCAACTTAGAACAGCTCGCAGTCAAAGGGTTCAATCTTACAACGTTGACCCGTTGTTGCTCCCTTCTCCCTGTTCACATCCTACATATATATCAACTTGTACCCGCAGATTGTAGTAATCTGTCTGGCTATCATGCCATTCAAACGCATTGATTCCAATCAACCGGTGTTCCAATGAATCACCGCTGACCCGTGACATTTTACGCGAAATGGAACGATTTCGGTTCGATATCTCGGGGACAAAAGAACCAAGCTCGACAAGGAAATAGAACTTACGAAGAATTCATCACTGTCGTAATTTCTTCCTGTTTAACACTATCAATGCTAACTTTCTCATACCTGCACCCTTCTTTTCGATCAGGATGTGAACGTTTAACAACTAAAATACGGATGTTTATGGAAATTGTAGCATAGGAAAATATGCAAAATACGCGAGAGAGTAACTTTACAACCTTTCCCGACAAATACCATAGTATACCAATTGATCTATGGCTTAGTGTTATTGTTCACGCATTCTAAGAGATTCTAACGTTACTCCCGTGTAATTTGCATATTTTCGTATGTTATAATTGCATAAACATCCGTAGTTTAGTCATCACGATCGATACTAATGCGTCATGCTAGTGTGTGACGCACCTCTTTGCATGGAGGACAATCAATTGTCGTCGATAAGATAAATAGATGCAGTCTCTTCCGCATTTAGCAACAATGTTCCTTTTCTGGTACAAAGAGTGTCGATTCAACGGGGGAAATATCGAAGTGAAAATCTGAAAAAAGAGGAGAGGGAAGGGAAAATATCGAAGGGATGGGAATCGCCAGAGGGATAAGAGTAATAAGCGTATTTGGTCAAAATCATTTATCATTTCCTATTTTTCAAATTTGTTGTTGGAAAATACAGAATTCGTTAATTTTCACTATTCCTCTGTCTTTAATAGTTGTCGAGATATTAAATCAAATATTTTTATTACCCCCGTCTTCGAAATTGCAAAAATAATAATTTGTAAATTTGTGATTCGTAAAATATAGTAATTTGTAAATTTGTAATTTGAAAATTTGTGATTTATAAAAAAATTATAATTTGAAAAATTAGAAATTATGTATATATAATTTTGACCAAATATGTTTATTACCCTCATCTTTGAGGACTATTCTCACCCCTTCAGTGCGAACGATCGCCAATACAAAAAAATACGCATAAAATATTTTTTCGAAAACTAGCATATACCAAATTTTCATCAAAATCGGTGATTATCACTTCGAAATCTTCCCTTACTACCTCGCTTACCGCATTTTAATAGTGCACACGTTAAAAATCACATATTGACTGAAATTATTAAAATTTAAACATGTTCCGCAACGATATGATTTCTCGTTCGTTTATCCTTTATTCGTGCCTCGAGGAAGTTCTTATTAAAAAAATAACAGCAACATCGACTTATTACCGACACGAATCGTCGCTGTTATAACAATCGATGGACACAGGAAAAAGTTTCGTAAGTTCATCGGTGACACTCCCTTTTTTCTATTTTTTACACACGGACACGTCAGATTTGTTAAAACTTCCTCGCTGAAATCAAGGATATCGTGCATACGCGATAAGATTGCGGGCATCGCGACTTCACTTCGATTCACCGCTAAGCTTATTTGTTCTTATGGATCAGACGTGTATAGCTTTGACCCGTTGTCCTTCGTCTTTCGTATCAGATATGGTGTAACAGTTGTGTAGCTGGTTGTGAGAGTAAACGGTCCAATTGCACGATCCATTGTTGCAACGATTTAAGAAAAAAACGTAAAAAAGGTGGGAAATCTTGTAACACCAGATTTTTTATTTAGATTATTTTCATTAACATTAAGGAAATGTCGTGGGTTATTTTCATTGCGGAAAATGTGAAATGAAATTGATGAAATCGCGATAGGATTTGTTTTTTTCTTTATTCATGTGATTTTTCCCTAAATGGAAAATATACCGTTGAAATATTTACGACGGTGTTTTAGTTTAATGGTAGAAATGCCAGTTAATTGGCAAAGATTTCTTGATAAGAGCATTTAGCTTGCACCATTTTTAAATCGATTTATTGAAGCATTGTAAGGGAAACACGAGAATCGTGTTATAGTTCTGGCATAACAATATCATTTAATTGTGTACTCTAGTTTTCTATGCACAAAGAGAATTAATCGTTGAAGGTCTACTGTATAAATTTACTGTGATTTGTACTTTATTGTTTTATGCGTAGATTTATTTCTAACAAAAATGAATATCAAAGAGCTTTAAGTATGTACAATTTCTCTGAAAAATATTGTTTAATATATTTTAAGTATTATGAATATTTAATAATATTTTAAAATTAATATTTGAACATTCAATATATTATGGATATTTAAGATATTATGAATATGAATATTATGAACATTATGCAATGAAAAATATTAATTTTTGCCAAGCGTCTGAATATTTATGTGACATAATAAATGGACGTAATTTCTGTTAGCTTGTGTTACAATGTCATATAGGAAAATGCATTAAACCAACAATACGTAAACTACAATAAATGATGTTTTACTACAAAAAAGAATCACCTCAATCTCTTTACAATTAACCGAAATATGTCATTAAAAAGATAAGCTTCCATAGTGTCTAAATATTTTTGGCAGTAATTGTACATCACAAACATTCCCAAAAAGCTACTATG